CTGGTCTCGCTAAAGTCTCAACAGTGTGGGTTACCTTCGGAACGGATTTATTTTAGTGCAATTCCTTCACTTCCCTTCTTTTTTGGATCTCACTGTTCTCATCATCCGTTGCCCTTTGAAATACTTACGTGTAAGATGAGGTACCTCCAGAACCCGGAGGCATAAGGTCATCCATTAGTTTTATATGGATGGTCTCAAACTCTTTGCTTCTGGAGAGAAGAATCTCCATCAGTCCTTGAGTGAAGAGTAAGTAAATGCTATCGATATGAAATAGACCATCTCAAAAAAGGACGATGCGGGGATTACGAAGAGGATGTAGCTCGTAGGCATGTCCTGCATATATCCATCGTCATGATGCGGCTATATTGCTGCTTTATTGCCTCCAACGGCACTTTCATGGGATTGACGAGACACTGGTGTTGTCTTATGTTCCGGAGATTTCGAATCCATTGTGGGTTGTGAGCAGTGCCAAATTTATTGAAACTATCCATTCTTCATCCTCAGGTTCATGAAATATAATAATTCTGATTTGGTTCTTCTCGGTCATCAGAGCAAGACGATATTCGTGATGAAGTTTTCTGTTCTAAATGAAACGAATATCGTCAGGAAAGAGAAGGAAAAATTTATAAAACTTCAAGATTTTCACTTCGAATTCCGTAGACTCTATCCAGACAACTCTGACAAGATGGCTTTTCTGATTATTGGAGTCCTTAGTGAAATGATGCCTTTTCTACTCTCGAATCCCAAAATCAAGCCGGCTTGCCATACCAAGGCAGAAATTTGAGGTGGATTATAAAGGATGCTGTCAATGATCACTCACCTAACCTAACCTAACCCTTCGGTAAAAAAAATTGATTACTAGTGTTATTATCATTGTTACTGTGTGCGACAAATAGCCTCTGAACTACGACGTGTCCATCACATTTTGAGTCAAGGCGTACTGCTGACCACATCAACACTGTCTTGATAAGATACGAATGCTAGTAGCCGCAAAAAAGTCGTAAATAATGCGATCGAGAAGTATTGCGAGAAACCACAAGTTGCGCTGGAAACCTCCTCACTTCCTCCGAGAACCTCCGCGTTTTGTGGATAATCTGTCGAATCTTTCTGGAGAATCATTCATGAGCATCCACAGCCACTCGATCTAGGCAATCCAGCCCTGGTGTAGTTAGAAACTTTCTGTAGAAGCCTTCAGTAATCTGAGCCAATAACTCCGGATGACGTTCGAAGAGCCTTTCTGGGTTAGACGAACTTTGCTAATCCAGGCCAGGATGGGAGGAAGACTTATTGGTCGAAAAATTCACCAAACACCTATCGCCATTCAGCTAGACTTTTCAACTCATGGCTGAAGGAAAAGCAGCTAATTCGGCATTGGTTCTCTTTCTTGAAGTGGTGGAGTTATTTTCTCCGATAACAGAGAGATTGTTAACTTTTTATTTTGGAGTGTCTACGTGACAGAATAGTACTGGATGGTACAAAATCCATAGGGACCGCTTTTATGTCTGCAGCTAAATGATGTGTGGAAAGTATGGGATCTTCTTCAACGACATTGAAGAATTTGGCTTACCAAAGCATCTGACCTTTGCTTTCCTTAGATAGACAGGAAAGTTGAAACTGAGGGGTTTATCATACCCTGCTAGGTTGGTATCTTCAACATATCATTCTACCGTAGTCACGTAATGGGTAAAGAGTTCAATAACAACAAATACAGGGCCTGTCGTGAGGCGCCTGAGACTCTATGGTATTTGTTGTCGGCATGACCAGCATATGCAGTCTCAGCCTATATCCATCGACGATACGCGGCATTATTGGTGCTATATCACAATCACTCTTTCGATATTGACAAGACACAATTTCATCAACTTTTGGTACTGGTTTGATTCTTGGCGTGCGAATTTTTTTTTCCGTTTTTATATGTTTGCGTGCTGCTTCAAGTGCAATTTCAGCAGCTCTTTTAGAATGTTCTATAACAAAATCACTTCCTCCTACTTTGTGTAGAACATTACGCACTTTATTGACGATTCCTGAGCCAGAAGCTACTACCTGAGAACCTTCGAATATTTTTTTAGCTTTTCCCCACTTAACCCCTCCTTTTCTGTATAAATGGTTTGGATGGTGACTCACACTCCATAACAAATCGAAGTTTTCCTTTTATTATGTTTATAATTAGCCAAGCACCTCATTTCTGTCCAATAGAAACGTCTTTTACTCTGAAGCGATTCCGAGCACTTTCTGCAAGCTCCTGATCCGCTATGTGTCTAGCTGGAAGATTGTTGGGATTCTGTGAATATGTAATAACGTGTTTGTGGCATGCAGAATCAAGTTGATTGACAACCGGATCACCTCTTGCCAACCTCTTCTGTAATTTCGTGCCGTGACCACAATACTGATAGGTTAGTTTTATTCGAATGGTAGATTATTATTGAGAGAATCAACCATATATATAAGTACCACACCCGACCACATTTCTTTAAGACTCCAATTGAATGTGACCTACCAAGATTTCAGAACAAGTAGAATCCCGTATTGAGGGCGTTTATTTTCATTGCGATAATTATTTTTGTTGCTTTATGATGATTTGGGTTAGCTTTCGAATTCGAAATGTGGATAGTAATCAGTGATGCCAACTATGACGTAAAATAGAGAGATTTATCTTTCAAAAGCAGGTCTGTAGATTGATGAAGTTTTTAAAGGAAAAATATTGATTATCGAACTGATGAGTGTCAAAGAAGGTGAAATGAAATGTGCAACAACAACAACAAGATGGCGTAAAGTGACGACGAGTCGCCGGAAACCTCTAATAAAAATGCCTTTAAAGAACAAATTAAAATGAAATGCTGCTCAAAAGATGTTGCAGTTTTTGTGTGTATAAACTGCAAAAGTGTTTTTCATAAAAGTTGCGCGAAAAGATTAGTGAATCTAAAAATTATCAGTGATACTGAAGTAAAGTGCTGTGAACGTGAAGTCAGCTTCTCCAAAGCAATTGAGAAATTAGAAAAACACAAGATAATTATAGAAAACAACTACTACTCAAACAACTACTACATGAAGTACAAGAAAAAAACAATATCTTGATGGTAAATAATAGTTTATTGTTAGACAAAATAAAGTATCTTGAAGAGAAATTGGCTGGGACAAAAAAAGAAACCCAACATTACCAACAAAAAACTGTAAAAACTGTAAACATGAACAAAAACATAAGTTCGCCTTCCCAAATGTTAAAAAGCAAAGATACAAGAGAAGATACAATGGAACTTGTACGTGACAAACAAATTGTAAATAATGGGAATATTAACAAACAACCTGCATCCCACCCAAGCGGATACAAAAATAAAAAATATGAAGAGGAAAGTGCTGAAACAATCATCGAAAATGAAGAAAACGACGCCTTCCAATACCAAAAACTAAGGAAAGGAAAGAGAAGATTAGGAACGGCTGAAGTTTCAGGAGAGGAATTGGAAAATGGATTTGCGGTAGCAGATCGCAAGGTTTGGCTATATATCTACAGGGTCAAGACGCATGTTATAGCAGATATGATAGAGAGCTTCATCAAGGAAAAGGATACATTTAAAAACGAGAATGATGGAGTTCAAGAATTACCCTCAGACCCTGGCAGGCTCGAAAGGTTTGTTGTCACAGCACCACTAGATCACAATGACGAAATGTACAATCCCAATTTTTGGCCTAGTAAGGTAGGAATAAAAAGATTCGATTTTCAAAAACATGGGAACTTCCTGAAGTCCACAAAAATTTTTTTCTAACTTCTTCAAGTGTCAGTCCAACAAAATTACTGCACCTAAACTCACAGAGTCTAAAAAACAACGTTATACCAACACAAGTACTCTTAGATGAAATCAACCCAAAGATATTCTGTGTCACTGAACATTGGTGTCTGCCTGAAGAAATATAAAATATAAGCTTAGACCCTCTAAAACTAGTATCCTTCTCTGCCCGGACAGAATCGCGAGGCGGAGGCACAGCGATATACGCATCAGCTGATTTAGAAATAAGCTTGTTGAAAGTACCTACACTCCCAATAGAAAAACATTTTGAGTTCTCTTGTTGCAAAGTAACATTAAATAATTTTAAATGTCATCTAGTCTGTATATATAGATCTCCATCAGGAGATATTAACTGTTTTTTAGATAGTTCTACTAAATAAACTAGAAGGATATGGTATTAGAGTCAAAGCACATGATCTCATCACCTCTTACTTATCCGGGAGATCACAAATAGTGGAATAAAAATGCCTTTAAAGAACAAATTAAAATGAAATGCTGCTCAAAAGATGTTGCAGTTTTTTTATTTTTATTATTATGTGGCGAATAAAGACTTGTTTTTCATTATTTGTATTGTGCAAAAGGAAGGCTGAAAAGTTCTATTTTTTGGGATTTTGGGGGCTGTAACTCTGGAAATGATGTAATTTACAAGTCAATATACGTAAGTACACCCATTTTTTTTTAAATCCGATGGTGAAGCCTATCTGGAATTTTACCTCAAAAGTTTGTTGATTTCTTGAAAGTCACGTTTATTTGCGATCGTTATTTGAGTATTTAAGTATGTTAGATGATCTTCAGACTTGCTGGCAGCTGCATTGATATTTTTGTTCTCTAGTTGAAAGTTAGATACGTCAAGGCGATCCGTAGATGAAAACAACTAAGATTGTTTGATTATTATCAGAAATTTTCCATCTATCGCAATACGAGTAATTAACCAGGGACTAACATATGTGAATATCAACGGCAATTTTTCGCGACAAGGGACTTATAGGAAATACTAATCGATTGGGATCATATTAAATGTGAGACGAGAGCATGGCATCTTCCTTCACAGATACGCCATCTATGAATGGAAGTTTAACATATTCCCCTATAAGGATCAAGGAAATTTTACTATACTATACTATAGGTATGGAACGGGTTTGTTTCACTGAAGGATGGTCATTTTGAACCTATTTATGATTTATTCTCCAGTACTGGAGAATAATAATGAAACTTGAATCCATAGGCTAATATATTACAAAAAATACATATTCGAACACCAATAAAATATTGTCGATAACGATATAGAAATTATATTTCTGATTCCAAACTGTACATTTGGCAATTCTTGTACTCATTCGAAAACCCCATTAAAACAAATTCCTCCCAAAATATTTCCATATCAGAAATAATCTTCAGCGGAAGATAATTTGGGGAAATAGAATAAAAAATCCACCAGGAGTTCAAATGACAGAATAGTTAACATAAAAATGGCACTAGTACATTTTTACAAGAAAATGCATATTTTTTCCTAATGAATTGAATCAAATTCCGAACTCTCCATGTTTTCTTAGTATTATAATCAAAATATAGTTTGAACGATCATTCTAGATGAACTATTCATTGAGGGAGTTTTGAAAAGCTCCTCTTCATATAATAAATTTGTTAATAAATGTCATGTCGTTTAGGGTTGAATCTAGGAATATCTCATATATTGTACATCTCTGTGAACAATATTTCAACAAAAAACGAATGATTTACAAGACTTTGCTAAATATAGAAGGTAAATTAAGATGCGTAAAGATTATTTACTTCAATTCAATAAATTAAGTCATATCAGAAATTCTATAAATATACAACCTAATCCATGATCTTCAGGGTCAAGATCTCTCAATATTATTCACCAACATCTAAAACGTTTTATTTTTTAGATGCAAGCCTGTCCCCTTCGAGTTAGACGAAGTCAACTGATATAATAGGTTTGCCTTGATACAAAAATAAATGTAGGGACATGTTTACTATTGCAAATTTACCAATTCACTTCATTAATGTCAATCACAATTATGTTGGGGTCTTATAATGCTGAATTATATCAGTCTAGTTACAGTTCCCGGTAAGAGATATTTTTTACTAATGTCTATGACTTTGATTAAAAATCACTTTCCATCGGCCGTTGGGGCCTCTCGGCTCCAGAGGTGTCAGTGTCTTCTGTGTTAACCCTAGACAAGCTCTCCGACCTCCTTCTTCTTCGTTTTCGTCTTACTTTTCCCTTCTTATTGACTTCTGGATTACTACCATGGTGACTGCCTCTGGAAGCCAAGCTGTGCTGACTGCCCGCTAGGCTAGGATGTGATGCATCAATCCTTGGGAGGAGTAAAGCATCGTTGTAAGAAGGAGGTCCCTGACTTTCCCTAGGATCGGGCGCATTTCTCATTGCCTCCTCCCGATATTCTCTGTGCCGTCGTTGCATTCTCTCTAACGCTTCTCTGGCCTCCCTCTCCTGCGTTCTTCTCCTCTCATCTTCTTCTCTTGATCGCTTCTCTTTTATTTGATTCACTTTTCTCATGATGGTGACACTTACAAGAAGCAACGCCATCGATGTTATCAGTACCAGTGAGTACCAATACAAATCGTTTTTTTTTGGTGGGTGCCACTCTTTTTGACATGCTGAATACCAAGTTTCTCCTTCCACATTCTCAGGAGTGTCACAAATCAGTCCATTTCCATTGTCTCCAGATTCCAGAAACCACTCGAATGCTTGTTTGAGTTCTTTGCAGTCACATCTCCATTGATTGTTTTCTATTCTTATAGTTCTGAGCGATTTTGGGAAGTAACTTGGGTTTATCGAAATCAACTGGTTGCTGGTGAGATCCAGGGTCTTGAGGTGCAGCATTTGTGAGAATGTCTTGTTATTGATATTCTTTATTTTGCAATCGCTTAGGTTGATATCAACTAAGCGATCGCCAACCCACCCATCGGGAAGGGAGGTCATGAAGTTTCGCCTCAATGAAAGATGCATCAGTTTTGGGAGGTTGGAAAGACTGTACTTGACAACGCTATAGATCTCACAATAGCTGGCATCCAGGTTATTTAATGATGTACTGGTAATAGTGTCTATTGTACTTATATAGTTATGCGATATATCCAGTTTTACGAGGGATATCGTTGGTAAAAATGTCTTTTCACTCAAAAGAGATATTTTGTTGAGAGATAAATCTACAACTTTCAGATTATCGAGACCTCTGAAACAATTTTCTTCGATATCTGTTATCGCGTTGGAAGAGAGGTTCAAGTATATCAAACTGGAGTAGTTCGAGAACGCATTGTTTTCGAGTGTTCTTAAGAAATTCCCGAATAAATTCAATGTAGTTATGGTGTTCATATTACTGTGTGGAATATTTTCCAAACTACTATCTGTCAGGTCTATATACTGCAAACTATCAGAATTTATGGTAATTTTCCTCAGTTTGATATTATTCTTCAATAAAAGGGTTTCTAGAAGAGTAACCCGTTCGAAGATATCTGCTCTAATTCTTCCCAAATGGGAATTACTCAAGTCAATAAATCTTATACTGGAAGAGGAGAAAGTTCCATTGATTTCTCGTATAGGATTGGAAGATAGGTGTAGTTCTTTCAAACTACTCATATTATTGAAAGCTAATGCTGGCACAGACTCTATCGAACAGTTGTTGAGCTCTAGTATCTGGAGGGAATTGACAACAAAGTGATTGGAAAACTGTGGAATACTCCCTAGTTCATTATTCGACATATCCAGAAATACAAGACTGACTAAATTTGTGAAAACTTGTGAATGAATATCTTTCCAGTCGTGGAAGAGGTTGAAAGTCAAATCCAAACGCTCCAGTTGATCCATGTCTTCGAAATCCGATGAACGAAGAGTGTCGATTTTGTTGTGGGACAAGTTGAGATATTTCAAGTTTCGGAAGAGCTTCAGATTTTCGGAAATGTTCCGAAAGTTGTTGATAGATAAATCCAAACTCCTAACCTGAAATTACAAAAATATAATGTATTATTTGCAGATTATGATTTTTTTTGGAAAAAAATAGTTTTGCCTTTCTATTTGTCCATTATCGAACGAAATATGTAGGGAATTTTTTCCCAAGAAAGTGACCTCTTCTAAAATATTCCCGTTTTAACTAACAGGTATCGTTGATTATTCGATATAGTGCTGAATTTCTGTCCAATTAGTGTTCTGTGTAAAAAAAACTCCGATGAACACACCGGGACTGAAACATTGGTTCTCGATGCAAATTGTGTTAACTGAGTTATCATTATCAGTAGATGGTTTTTGTATCTCTTGATGATCCTAGTCAAAAACATGTCGAGAGACAATACTTCAATTCTGCCGTGGGAAAAGGTTTTTCAATAGCTTCTTTTTACACCAGAGGTTTCAATTCTATACATCAATTCCAGAAGATTTTTCGAAGTTACTTGTATGATAAAAAAAATTTTCACCACCTTTCGGTAGATTAACATAAGTAACATAAGTACTGAAAGGTTACTTCGAATATGAATATCTTTTGGTTGTAACGATATTCGAATTAGTGCATTATAATTATATATCACTTACATCCTGTTTCACCTGGACGTTGGTTGTACATGCGTGAATGACTACAGTCTATTATAAAGAGAATAATGGAAATGATTCACAATGCAACAGGCATGATTCATCTAATAACTGTCTCTTCATGGAGAAACGCGTCGTTAACTAGTGCATTCACATATACTATAGTGTATAACTTGCTTTCTAACATCTTCACATCGGAAAAAAGGATACTTCATAGTCTTTGTTGGTTATTATATGGAATCTGTTGAGGCTGTTGAAAGCAACAAGATCTTATTTCGGAGTTCATTTAGAATATCTTAATAAGTCCGCTAGCACGTCCTTGTAGCCGATCATCCATGTGTCTATGCAGAGGCACGGGTACTGAAGGGTTGTCCTTAAAGAGGATTTTGTCGCCATGTCTACTCAGATGCCTGGAGTTGCTATTCCTCCCAGTGGTATGATCAGAAGAGTTAGAAGTCACTCTCAAGTTACTCTGTTGTGAGAAAACATGATCAAATGTGTGTTGGAATTTTTTACTCTTTTAGATATAATTTTATTGGCAGTGCTCTCTTCTTCCAAAACCATAACAAAAACAACAAACAGAAATGATATTGTGCACCATTATTACGCTCTCGACATGTAGACTTTCCACGACTTAACTATAGTATTGCGAATGGAGTAAAACGGGAGGGCGACCGTGGTTATCAACAAAAAGTACGTTTGACTAATGTACTTCGTATAACAAGAAGGAGCGATGAAATAAACCATAGTCTATCCAGAATTGACAGAAACTACACCAGTGTATCTATATACATTTGTGCCATAGGCGTACGGCATTCAAATCATTTACTCTCAACGAATTGAATAAATGAATATACAAAATTTATTCTTGAAGAATCTAATTCATAACAAACAAAATAACACATCAACAACGACAAATGTGAAAATATGTCCAGTAGTAACCAATAAATTCTCCAACAAATAAGTATTTAGTTGAAGGGGATTCACAAAAAACATTGTTTTTTTGAAGGCGGTATGAATAGATATTCTTCTGAATTATACCGTCAACAGACACGCTGCACCCATCAATAGGACTAACTCGGTTTTTTCCAAAGAAAGAAAATATTACATTATTTTCTGTTGGGAGTTTGAAGGGCATGGTAGAGAGGTTTGTCGTGATATTCTTCAGTTCACTTCGAATAAAAAGCCATGCAACATGGAAGCTAGTTGTTTGGGAACCGTGAAATGTCTGAAACTGTCAGCATTGAATATAAATGAAAAAACAATTGTTACGAATGTTTATAATTCCTCGAGAATACAATATCCGCCTGAAATAAAAAGTATGGGGCAGTAGTGCAAAAATGCTCGAGTGGGACCGATGTCAATAGATCGAAAAATGTTATAATTGCTCTCGGATCTCAAGCTTTTTGGATCCGAAAGTATCCACTGGCAGAAAGTAATTAGTTATCGACGAAGAAGTCAAGAATTCCATTAGAAGAACTGTACACTCTTTTTCCAAAAAAAAAAACGAAATACCTACATTGAATAAAGTTTTGTCAGTTATTCGTGAGGACTTTTTTTTCTGATATAAGAAGAACTAGATTATGGAAGGTATCCACAATAGCTGGAAAACAAGATAGAAAGAGCATGTTAATAGAAAAATCAGAGATTGTAGAATGGAGAAGAAACTGGGTCAGTGAGGGTCATGAGAAGTGGTGCAACCCGAAATTGCACTTCGTTAACATATAAATGACACATACAAAAATAGACTTCGAAAACTCCCTACAAGCCATATCCAAAATATATACAATATCCACCCCACGAACAAAGTTTCACATGTGCCTTCAAAATATGTACAAAAATGCAATTGAAACAATATAGAATTACTAATAGTGCTTCCATTCTAACAGGAGAAGTATTTGCAATATACAAGGCACTTCGTTAACATATAAATGGCACATACAAAAATATACTTCAATAACTCCCTACATGCCATATCCAAAATATATAACATCAATTCTTTGGTAATATCAACTGAAGAGCAGTCCGCAATTCTTGGCATCAAATCAGTAATGGCTTCATCAGGGGGTCATTTCTCGGCTCCGTCTGGGCTAAAGACGACTTTCGCTTCTGAACCAAATTGATTTACCTGTGAAGTGCCATTGACTATTGAATATAACTTTGTGAATGTTTTTATAAAATGCCCCTCGGATAACTATGTGAATTTTCTTCGAGACTAATATTTTACATAAAATTCATTACATGACAACTGTTGTACGTAATATAATACTTGGTAGTATGAGTTGATGCTGATAGCCAGTTGGCTGATGCGGTTATTTGACTAAAAAACGAAGTTCTTTCAGAAAAACATATTTTTTTCATTTTATAAGTGACGACTCAATTTCTTCTGCCAAATTGTAGATATTTATTGGTATTGGGCGACGCATTGCCTGCACTTCATAAATCTCACAATTTCACAAACTACACCGGAAACTATTTGATCTTCACAAACTTTATTTTCAAAATTTCCCGACATATGTTGCTATCACAGTACCTTTTTCGTAGTGAATAACATACTAAAAACTTATTATTGACTCTGACTTTTATATATCCCACGTAACCACCAGTGAGAATTACCTACTCGGGTATGTACATACCCAATCATTATTAGCAAGAGCATCTACTTAACTTTTATATATCCCCAATTATTACCTAGAGCATATAATATCAATTCTAAATTAATACTAATATGTCTACGAAGACTAGGATAACATCGGTTCCTAAGAAAACAAGTCCAGTTGGTCATTCAGTAGAATTTTTGAATTGTTAGCTTTATTAATTTCCATTGCTTTCAAATAATTGAGCTTTAAACCTTCATTTTTCATGTGTAACATTTCTGAATCTTCATCAAATATATGATTTTTTTCTAAAAGATGATTTGAATATGTTGAACTTGTTTTTCTATTCACATAGCTCACAAGATGTTTCTGGAGGCGATTCCTAAATGTTCTGCCGGTTTGACAACCTTAGCTCAAGTTCCACAATTTAATGTATATACTCCTGATTTTTCGAATTTGAATGTTTTCGGTTTATAAGGATGCAAATTTTTGTAAAGATCATATTTATGCTTTTCATAAACAACCTTCCCAATTAATATTCAAACAAAATTAGTTTTGACGATATTTCAACTATCTTCGTATCATACAGAATATATCATCATAAAATTTATATCAATACGGGTTCCCACGCCTTTTGATACTGTCTTTAATGCAATATGAGGAAAAACGGTCGGCCGCCTATTTTGATGTCGTTTTTAGCTCGTTAGCGGCGTCCTCAAAGGGCATAGCGGGTAGAAAAATCTCAGTAACTTTGAAAAACGGTCGGCCGCCTATTTGACGTCGTTTGTAGCTCGTTAGCGGCGTCCTCAAAGGGCATAGCGGGTAGACAAATCTCAGTAACTTTGTGTGGATGAATTGCAGTGCCACTTGCTTGAGACGACTATGTCGTCGGAATGCTAGTAATCCATAATCGTTAAATTTTTCTGTCCAGTAGTTACCCAACAATGTATTTCCTCCATTCATACCATTCACCTTGTCATTGGCGTATTTTTATTACTTCTTGGTATGGCCATAGCAATTTGAAGACGTATAAAAATATCTTCAATTTCGTTCCATCAAAAAATTATGTAATATAACCAGCAGTCTTAATACTTTTAAAATGTATGTCTCGATACGTGAAACTTCATAATTCCGAGACTTTTGAAAAAGTGGACCATATCCGAAATTAACTTTATTAACTTTACAGTCAATAAAATATTACTGGGGATTTCATGGTAATGTTTGCGATATTATAAGATAAGGAAACTCATATCCTGTTATTGTACTTCGTATTTAGATTTATTCAATAAGATCGGAATATAACATCAATCAGTGATTAGAGGAAATAAGTAACAAAGGGGCTATGTACATGTATTTCATTTTGAAAGCATCTTCATAATATTTTTGGTGTTTCATAATAGAGAAGTAACTGAACTGGAATCGAAAGCATTGTTCACAATCATCATTTAAACTGAATATGTATTTATGTGCTTCAGTCCATCCAGAAAATATGAAACTCTGAGAAATTGAACATCAACTTATCATTATCAAGTCATGTGTCCCAGAAATAAATACTGATGTAGACCTAGTTAATATATCACGACTCCAACAATATTTATTTATACAAGATTATTCCATGGATCGATTTGTTATCATAAATAAGGTATATACTACTTACATTTGTATCTATTTTTTGTGGAAGTTGAGACAAGTCATTGTTCTGACAATTGGTGACATATTCATTGCACTGACAAATTTCTGGACAGCTTGATATATTCCGACAGCTAGTATTCGTTACTACCAATACCAGTATCATTCCATATCTACAGCACCACATTTTCGTTTTTCTTTCGAAAAGGCTATACTGAAGCACTTGAATCAATAAATTGACAATGACATACAATTACAGATCATGCATTTTCTCAAATGTAATGTGATGTGACCTGGACACCTGCGACCCACCACAAAGGTAAGATTCTAAACAACTGAGTCAACGAGATTAAAAGAGATAACGAGTTGCTGATAAGCAGAAGGCATGTAATACGAAATGATTTTGTTATCTTAGATCGAATGTATGGCTGAAATATATATTCTTACTTAATTTGGGAGAAGGTGTTTACTGAGTAAAAATTAAAATAATATGGCATACTTGATGAGGTATGGTGCATTCTGTTGGAGCTTTCGAGAAATCCAGAAGCATTTTCATTGAATGTATCGATGCTGCAGGAACGGAGTATAACATTGTAAAACCTTAATAAAAATGTATTTCGTTAGATACTACGAATTTATTTTGTAACTCGTTTGGTAGACTGTATTTTAACTTCAAACCAAGTATTTTGGCCTCTTGAAATCATTTTGACGAGTTCATATAATGTATACAAAAACCTGTAATTTTAAGGAATGATACGGAAGCGCAGAAGGGCCACATTTTTTTATCATTTGTTTCTTGGAAATTCCCACTTTAAAAGTCGAAATTTTAATTTGAATTTTCAATTTTGAATTCAATGTCGAGATTAAAGTCGAAACTAATAAATCAAACAATAATGAAACGTGGCATTATTAATGGTTTAGGTTATATAAGCAAAAGTATAAGTGGTAATTGCGACCAAGATGGTGCTGAAATATATGACACCGCAATAATTCTTCATTCAGAAGATTTAATCAAGTTGCTGTGAAGAACAATCATATTGAAAACCCTCAAAATTTTCAGAAATGCCAGTTCATTTCGGTAGCCGGTAGGTTCAACGTGGGTACTTTGTTTATCGACCGCCGTGTTGGTAGGTGGTTCAAGCGACAGGCTGAACGATCGATTTTCACTTGCTATCATCCAACCTGTGTTAGGAATCACACGTTGAAAGGTAAGACCTCGTTAATCCTTGGCTCGTACAAGTTTCGACTTATGAGGATTGTCGTTCGTAGGGGTGCTACAGCTGGTTTACAGAAAAACAGATTTTAAACAGAAACAGATTTCAATAATATTACCAAGTGCCTGGACTATAATCATATCAATTTTAATTTTCATAATAATTTTTATTTTATTCATCAAGTATACTAAAGAAACATGAAATCAAGAACGAGGCAGCCAGGCGGAGGAATGGTAGGACTGAATACAATAAGGATCCTCCACCTGATTAATGCTGACTTAGTATATCTGATTCAGCAGCAAAACCTAGAGAGACTTTTCCAGCTTTTGCTATGTCGAGTCCTTTTTCGAAAAAGAACTTGAAGAAGCGAATTTATAATTAGTATGTTATTTTTGTTGACAATACACTCCAAAATGCCAACTGGAAAATTACAAAATATACTGTAATACATAATTCTTCTTAGGATGATAGTTATCTTCATCCCACAGTTGTTCTTAATTTGACATTTCCATTGAAGAAAGTAGATAGTCTTGATAGATAGTTTGTTATTTGCGGAAAGGAGAGGTCCATGTATGGTGAATAGCCTTGCGATTGTATTACCATGAGTAACTCATTATACACCCAATTTTTAAATCATAAAAATCGAAGCTTGCCGTTGTATTGATATTCATGCAAGTAACATCGCAAAAAAATTACTGAATATGATTGATTCACAAGCTAGTGATATAGTTGTTTCCTCAGTTGCCAATATATAACTAGCATTATAACAAATAATGACCGGCTTCCTTACTAGCTCTTCACCGTCTGGAATGAAACGAAATTATGTGATAGCTCAGACATTTTAATTTATTGAATTTTTGATAAAAAACAGTTCAAAATGAGTTTCAATATGGATTTTCATCAAATATCGGTCTGTTCTATTCAATTGAAAAACATTTTAAAAATCAAGCTTGTATGTATACGTTCTCGCTTGACGCGAGATTTACATGTTACAAAAAACATATTAATTCTTTTAAGAATTACTCATGTCAATATCACTAAATATAGTTAAAAAAACTAAAAAACATGCTTTTAAATAACATCGAACTGAAAATATGGCACAAAGCGCCCACACTTTTTTCACAATATTACTAGTATTTTTTGTTCGTTATTGTTTCCAAGCGTGTTTTTAGTTTATTAAACTATATTAATTTTTCATTTTTTGGTTTGGTATGCTATATAAGCGTGTTTTTTAGTCTTTTTGAACTATATTTATTTTATCTAAACTTTGGGATATATCAGTCGTATATTGTTTAGAAAAATGACCATTGATATTTTCCGATTCCGGAGAGGGAGTCTTGAAAATCAGCTACCAAGCCCAAGGCAGCAGGCGCGCAAAGGAGGGTTACAAATAAGGCGGTAGGCGCGCGTGTTAAAAAAAGACTTTTTTCAAATGAAGAAATACATTTAAAGTGAGTTCGAATTATATCAAGGAGATTACGTATAGCGCAATCTGCCCGCGAATAGATCAAGCAATAATGTCGATAATTCTGTTAAATACGGATCCCGAACTTGAGAGTTACAAACAAACATACATACATACAGGTGAAGCTAATAAAAGCGTGATAAATAATTAAAAAAAAATTGATTATGAAAGAACAGTAAATATATACACTTCAATTATAATTGGGTAGGAGGCTGCTCCCTTTCACTTTTCAAATTGTTACAGTCAGACATTTTTAAATTTTTAATTGTTTAAAAAAATCATTTATTCAGTAGAACACATGTTACGAATACTGTAGTAAACACAACTGTGGACACTATACGTATCCTAGCTAAGTGTGGCGAGAGAGATAGCATAATGCCGAACCAGTGGGAAGAGAATCGCACAGTCGCTTGGGCATGGCGACCCGTCGTCATGTCAGCAATCGGTTTTATGTGCGGCTATAGATGTTTGCCTGATATTTTCTTCATAAATGGGATAGAGAATACAATATTGTAGTGACAATATCTTTATTGGAGATTTAGCGTATCTCCTCTGAAATAACTCCGAATGATTACAAACCTACTCTCTTTTATGGACCGAATTCATTGAATGTGAAATTCGGGTAGACACAATTCAATTATATCCAGTGTAAAACTGCAGAGTCGGATGACAAATCGACACACCTTCTGATCACGCTTTCTTTTGAGGTTGCATAGGAAACGAATACCTATAGTTGGTTTCCAAAAATCTCACTATTTCACTGCTCTATTTCAATCTATTTCTGTTTGATTAACCCACTAGTTTCGACATTCATATGAGATCAGTAAGAAACCATTCGGCAATTAATCACAGATTTATTTTATATGCAAGGGTATATCCGACTCGGTTCCAAACCATTTACAGTATTTCAGTATCAGCAAATTTAAATTCTTCAAATCCCATATTGACCATGCAGCTAAGTCTCTCGGACCTTTTCTTTAAACCGAAGCCATTCGGTCAACCGGATAATACAACAATTCAATTTTCATTACTTGGCCCAATCCAATATTTTACATTCGAATAGTAGCTTACATCCGATAGCGGTATTATGGATGATTTCATTCCGCAACAATGAAATATCAGTTTTATGAGAATTTATGACCAGGCCACTTATGGCGTTTTTTTTTAGCTCATATTCACCACATATTTTGTTGAAGAACGTTTTGTGTACTGAAATGTTTTGATACTCATCCGTACGCCAGAAATTGAAATAATGATAATAATAATATTGACTTTTGAGTTTGGAGTGTCTACATGACAGAATGGTACTGTATGGAGCCTGTTAAGTTCGGATCCCCTTCTCTCCATGAGGGAACCGGAATTGATGAATTTTTTACCAAGGCAGCTGCCTGAGGGTTTGATAAACTTTGTTTTATAGTTTTCAACACAACTCTGTCACCGAGTTGGAACCTGGTCAGAAAAAAATCCACATAAAAGCCTGCAGAGATCATTTCACCTGCGGTAATGAATAAGCATTTTTCAACAACACTGAAGACCTCAGCTTATCAAATCTCCTGATCTTGTTTTCCTCAGGTATGATGGGTTGTTGTCGGAAACTGAAGGTTTCATCATGGCTTCTCAGGTTAGTGTCTACAAAAACTTAGTCCACCGTATTCGCATGGTTAGGTTACTAACATAGGGTGCATGGCCTGCCGCGAAGCGTCTGGGACCCTAATACTCTTTCTGCTGGAATGTCCAGCATATAAGGTCTCAGCATAAATCCATTGACATAACGTGGCCCTAAGTAGTTTATTTTCACCTAAAACATATTTATGATATCGACAGCGGGGTTGTTTTATGCCCCATGAGATATTGAATCCGTTGTGGGATCAAAAGTGCCTAATTTATTGGAACTTTTCATTATCCACCCTCAGGATAATTCTGAGCCTAATGTAATTCTACTCCGTTATTATCAGAGGAAGATGATATTCGTCGTGGAGTTTTGGAAAAGTGCTGAATTCATTGGAACAATTCATTCCTCACCCTCAGGCTGATACAAGCAAATAAACCTGAAGTAGTCCTTCTCGACCATCAGCTACGGGTGAGACGAATGACGTCCAATAAGAGGAAACAAAAAAGATAAAATATCGAGACTTTCTCTTCGAAATCGATAGACTCTATCCAGACCACTCTGAAAAAATGTTTGTTCGTATAATTATTTTTTTCATCGGATGATGCTTCCTCTACTGTTGAATCTCAATACGATACCAGCTTACCTCATCATCTTTCCGGACAAAAGCATAAGGCTGCCATTCATGGTTCATTCTTGGACTCACTGATCCTTCACTTCACGGCGTTGGAAATAGTCATTGGTTACTGATGCCGTTACACCCTTCATGGTATCGGAACTTCGAGGAAGGGGCACGACTGGCGCAACTTAAATTTTTTTTTCATCATGCTCATCATCATTGTAATCATCTTTATTATCGATATCACTATCATTTTTTCAACATGTCCGTGAAGCTCCGACACAGTCGGGAAGGCGCGTCAACATTATCACCAATTAAACACTCCCCACACCGTAGGGTAAGTAATCATTGGGTCCAAGATTCATGTGCCCTCAACAGATGTAATAAGCCAAGAAAGACAGCCTTCTGCATTTGCCCGGCCAAGATT